GGCCACCACAAAGCGCGGGAAGAACGCCCCCAGCCCCACCGCCCTGCCAGCCCCGGCCCGGTGCTTACCTTGCCCCGCTGCTGGGCAGGGCTGGCAGGCAGCACGGTGCTCCAGAAGGCGGCGAGGAGAGACACACACTCCTCCAGGACACGGTGCAGGGAGCTGGCGCTGCCCCAGAGGTGCCCTGCGCCTGCCCACCCCAAGGCCTGCAGGAAAAGGATGCAGGGAGCAGGTGCTGCCAGGGTATCTGCACCCCACTGCTCCCAGAGACTCATTCTGCCCAGCCCAACACCAGGGCAGTGCCCACAGCACTGGCAACGGCCCCCAGGTTGGGGGCTACCTGCTGCTTGCCAGCCCTGCAAGGCTCAGGGGTGATACAGGGCTCAGGAGCTGCTTTATGCACAGCCTGTGGAGTAGGGGCTGTCCCCCAGCTGCCACCAGCCCTGTCCTGCCCACACTTTACCTCTTTTCCTGGGAGTGGGCAGTGGGGCAGCCCCAGTGCCGGGCGTGTGAGACACATCAGCTCACGGGCCAGCACCTTCCCCTCCAGAACGCGCTGCTCCAGGGCCCGGTACGTGTCCAGGCGGCTGATGACATGAGCCCCCGTCGGTCCCTCGCTCTTCCTCACTGGTGCATCTGCCCCACCTGGCACTGTGGAATGAGCAGGGCAGGGTGAGGATCACTGCCTGACCCCCCTGTGGCCCTCTTGTCCCATGCCAGGGGCTTGGCTCTGCCCTGGGCTCTCCATCCTTCCTCAGCAAGGGTACTGCCATGAATTTGTCAGGTCTCAGCAGCCCCTGAGGCACATATGTGGGCACACTCCAGTACCCACCGTCCATCTGCCGGGCCACTGGCGTGTCAGAGGGCAGTGGGGAGAGGAGGGGAACTGCTGAGCTTGTGCCAACATCCCGCACCGGAGGAGATGGGAAGCAGCCTGGAAGAAGAAGCATCTGAGCCCCTGCAGGTGGCTGTGGCTCTGTGCCTGGGGCTGCTGGGGTCCTGCCCTCCCTCTCTACCTGCCAGCAGGGCACCCTGTCCCTCCTGTTGCCACGACAGGAGAGGTGCTTGGGCCCACCCAAGGGTTGCAGAGGGGCCAGGCACCCCCAGCCCAGGAGCTGGGCAGAGGGGCTGGGGCGGGTGGGGGATCCTGTACCTGCACGGGTCTCAGCAGAGGGGCCAGGAAGG